TAATAAGAAATTTATTTCCTATTTTGTGAATTTTGACATCACCAATTATTTATCTATTTTAGAAATTCAAACAGATCCAACTCCTAATGTGCAACAGCTCCAAGAAGAGATTGTCAAGCTGAGAGCTGACCTTCTCATTGCTAAAAATACATCAATACAACAACAGTCCAGCAATACAAGATCGCCTTCAGAAGCTATGTCCTTTGCCTCCATCAAAGACAATAGCTCTTTGGTAAATTTTTATACAGGCATCCAAAATGCAAGTATATTTTTGTGGTTATTGAGCCTGTTCAAAGATGAAATCAAATATACCTGTTGGCAGCTGAATGTTGAAGACCATTTGCTACTGATTCTCATGAAGTTGAAACTGGGGCTTTTTAATAGAGATTTAGCTTTTAGATTTAAGATAACTCAACAAGTGGTTTCCAGAATATTTCGAAGGTGGGTCCCTACAATTGCAAAACATACAAAGTTTTTGATTGTTTGGCCAGAGCGCACTGCAGTTAAAAAGAATCTCCCACTGTGTTTTAAGAGAAAATTTAAAAATTGCACTTGTATCATAGACTGCACAGAAATATTTATTGAACGTCCTCTAAATCTCAATGCACGAGCACAAACATGGTCTAACTATAAGCACAGCAATACAATCAAATATTTAATTGGTATAACACCTGCTGGGGCTGTGTCTTTTCTCTCTCCTGGCTGGGGAGGAAAGACCTCAGACAAGGAGATAACAAACAAAAGTGGATTCCTTGACAAGTTGGAATGGGGAGATTGTGTAATGGCAGACAGAGGTTTTACGATTGAGACAGAGCTGGCAACAAGGGGCGTCCACCTAAAAATCCCAAAATTCACAAAGGGGAAAAAACAGATGGCTGCTAAAGATGTGGAATTCTCCAGACAAATTTTGAATGTTGGCATTAATGTTGAGCGTGTCATTGGCCGATTGAGAAAATTTACAATTTTACAATCAAAGATCCCTTTGTCACAAATCGACCTTCTTGATGATATCATGATTATCATATCAGCAATTATTAACATTAACAACAGCGTCGTTTCATAAATTGCATATATATATATATATATAACCTCAACAGGGGCTCAATTCCAAAGAATCAATACTATCTCTATGCTGCAATAAGCAAATTTTAACTAATGACATTGTTTTTATTGTCATCTACTAAGATGTTTTCTTCAAGTCAGATCATTCATGCATCAAATTATAACTTTACAGGACAGCTTTTAAAAAGTCTCAATAACCTTTTTCATAAATAGGTTGATAACGGGATTGGTATGTGATAGATTCTTTGGAACTGGGCCTTGGCTATTGTAAAAAAATTGTAAATAGCTGCTAATTAACTTATTTCCTGAGGTTCATCAACATTTGACATCACTTTTACTATAGCAAAAAGCTGACATTTTGCTTAATCTTGAAAAAAGAACTTAATACAGGTCTTTTTTTGAATTTTTGCAGGTTAGAGGAAATGGAAAATATATGTCAAATGTAAAATTTACCTCAGGAAATAGACAGACGAAAAACTATAATAGCTACTTAGAAATTGCTTTCCTGCACTGGTTGCAGTACCAAGATTTTGCAGGTGCTCTGGTAATTTTTACACAACTATAGTGGAACCATTCCATTTCACAATCAGGTCCATTACAGGGAATCATGGGTTGAAAGCTAGGTCTTTTACAATAGCAATAAAGTTTGTCCGAGTTGTCCTTATTTTGATCATGCTTTCTAGATACTATTTCAGGCAAAATGAAATTAAAAAATACCTTACAAAATTGTTCTTGCAATTTGAGGCAAAATTGACTGTCTTCTTCAATGGTCAAGAGTAGCTTGTCACTCTCTTTCTCCCCTTTTGTCCAAATGAAAAAGTGACAATAACTTCGTCCAGTTACAAGAAGTTGGTGCTGCACTTGAAAATAGTATTGGTGGTTCTGCCTTATTACACCATCAGAAGAGACTGGAAAATTGGAATCTGACTTCCACCCATCCAGGCTATCTTTATATTTATATGGGCATTTAATCTCTAGTACTCCTTTTCCATGACACTTGCATTCAATTAGTCCATCTGGTGATGCAGCAAGATAAGGAGATTCTGGTAAGACATCAAGGCCGGTATCCGAAACAACCATTGTTGAATGGCTCTTAGTTACCAAGTTTATGTAGTCTCTTTTTGCTTCTTTCTCCATTCTTTTGCCATACCTTGTGGCAGCAACATCAATTGACTCGGAGTACTGCATAACTGAGTTCATCAGACTTTTTGGATAATCCACTGATTTGCCAACTTAAAATGCCTGTTTTGAAATTGATGCAGTGATTCTTCCTGCTCTTTGTAGTTGCCAAGTTCTAGAGGCACTCTGCTTTTCTGTAATTTTACAAAGATTTCTGTATTGTGATACACAGTTACTATTTTTATACCTTTTGTATGATTTTTTGCAATGCCCCTGTAACTCATCATTGGTAAAGTTGATAGCTTGTGGAACAAATAAACTTGTCAATGGTTCAGAAATACAGTTTGACTCATCTTCATCACCAGTGTCTGTTTCACTATTGTTCCTGTCATCATCTGAAGACGAATCAAGAATACTTGTAAATATTGCTGCATTTGGGGCCAACTTTCTCAGTTCTTTTAATTTATTTGTGGCAGATGTCTCACCAGAAACTGACGGATCTTTCGAACAGTATGGCTTCTCCAGTTGCTTACTACCTTTAGTCTCATTTGGGACACAACTATCTTTCTTGGGGCGTCGAAAGTCAATGTTTTTTAGAGGGGCTGGCTCAGCATACCTCCTTGATTTCTTCCATGCACATAGCTTACTGGTGCTAGCGACTTTATTCAGCTCAAGTTGGGTGCATGCCTGAAGCTTAAACAGCAGGGCAGCCACATGACTACAGACAGATCCTAACCTAAAATGTTAAGCGAAAGCATTGTTTTGTATACATGTATGTATATATCTATTCCTAGATGGAATTAGCTGTAAACAGGCTTCTTTATCACAAGGGTATGATGTATCAACTAAGAACAAACATTTACATTTTTTACCTGACTTTAGATTATCTGTGTTAACTAGCATCATTTTTCAATGTTATTCAAATATCTTGAAATGCAAACTCACCCTGCCATACAAGTACAATTAGCAGAGAGAATCCAGCCTTCTTTTTTGTGTAGTACAACCCAAACGTCAAACAATCTTGATTTCTGTCCTTGTCTTTGACTTGGTAAAACCTGAATTGAACAGTGACCCTGATTATATCAACATACTGTAGTTGGAAGTGAAATACATTACTTTAGATAAAAATATCATGATTTATAAGATTTTACCAACAAATGTAAATTTGTTTATAAAGACGCAAGTAGAAAAACATCTATAAAAATGGAGTAAAGACAGAATAGATTTACATACCTGCGACTTTATACAACAAAAATCGCTTGTGTTGTTTATTGGGTGATAATAGACATCATTAACATGTCCACAGATAAAAAAGTTGTATGCCTCTAAAGACTTGTAGGCCTTTAACGATTCTTTAGTAAAATTACATGGCGTATTTATTACGTAGTTGTATATGTCTGGCCAGCCAACATCTGGGAGCAAACCAACATCATCCTGCCAGCCTTCATCAAGACTGTATGGGTCCGGAAGGACAGAACCATCCGTCAACGTTAATTTACATTTGTAATTAGCCTGATCTTTTTCGTCCAGAGAATCGAAATAGCTTTTATCTGACGACATCAATGTGAAACTTTATTAAGCAAATTACATATCCAAGCGAAATTTATATGCAAGCGACTACAGAACAGTAAACAAACAGCTGTTATTAAACTCGTGGTAGCAACACGGAAGCACGCTTCGTGCAGCAAGAAAAATTATTCAGCACAAATTTGCCCCGATGCTGCGGTTTTCCACGTGCTAAGTAATTACTTAAATATCTTGCACACTGTTGTTTTAAACTGGTAACACCTGTAAAAACGCTTTGCAGCTCATACGGTACAACCTACACAGCTGTGGGGGACTACAGTAGTATACTGCTCGCGTGCTCATGTTTGTTGTTTTGCCTGGCAGCTCCTGCGCAGTTTCCAAAACTGTAAACAAATGACGTCAACTGGAATCCATCTATTGTATTGATAGGACACTATAAATACGCATCTTTATGACAAAAGGTATTTCATTTAATAATAACGAGCGAAGATATCTAACATAACTTCTACTAAGTGGGCCTAAGCAACAAAATGTCTTTAGAGCAGGCAACAAAAATCACCGAAAAGGGTTCAAAATAAAAATAAATTTCAAAAACGAGGGGTGAGGTTCTGTGTTGCTTGATTACCTAACAGGGAAAGCTGCAAAAACACATGCCGAATGCCATCTGTAAATTTAAATCATTTTCCAAAAGATCATGCTATTGGCAGGCAGTGGACACATTCCGTGAAACGACATCGAGCTGACTTCAACCCCAATTCATATTCCACTCATCTACATCTTTGCTCAGATCACTTCACTTTACAGTTACACCAAGGCTTTGGCTCAAGGTTTAGAAGTCTATGATACTCGTCACATGAAATAATTCTTGAAAAGACAAGCAGTCTCTACAGTATTTGACCCTCCTAAAATGGAGAACGCTGACACGGAAAGACATTCCACATCAAAAAACAAATCATATTCCAAAAGAGAGAGAAGGAAGGTGAATCTTTTTATTAATTATTTGCATGTGATATCTTATCTACTACAAATACAAAAATTAAACGGAAGAAAGAATTGAAATTTTTAGGAATTTTCTGAACATGCATTTTTAAATGACTATAAAAAATTAGTAAACTTCAGTAGTTGAAGCAAAAACTAAGAACCATTGAATTGAAGCTAAAACACAAAAATAATCTAATGTTAAATTCACGACATCACAAGAAAAGAACTTTAAAAAACATCCATTAATGAAATTCCCCAAAGCATTAAGAAACTGCTGTGTACACGGGCTATTTTAAGAGTAAAATGAGTGTACACAGCTATTTTTTTATGGTGCCAGCTAAAAACCGCAAATGCGGGGGCATGAGGGATTAGCCCCTAACAATAAAAAAATGAGCTTGAACTATGCATTTGATTTTTGGATGCCTAAAACTTACAAGAGTAACTAGTATTGACATTTTTGTGAGCCATTTGAAGTTTTATTTTGAAAAAGATTGATGTTAGGCAAAATTGTATTCAAAATTGTTATGCAAATAAACTAGGGTTTGTGATACATTTTCCGTTATTGTTAGTTGTTAACATCTATCAATAAAGATAATACAAAAGAAACTGTAAGTGATGAACAGCTAATTGTTCCATGGGAATATAGAGCCTCTGAACAAGCGAAAAAAGGTTGTCCTTGCCAATGGTAGTGCCCCAGTGGCAGATTGCCTAGAATGCACAGCAGACCAAACTACTGGCAATTTCATTGATCAAATTAAAGAAAAAGAGGAACCTAGAGGAACCCAAGGGTCTCTTTGCTGCCAGAGGTTAAAACTAACATCACAACAAAACGAAAACCTCAAATGAAAAGACCGAAGATTGGTGAAGAAAATTGAAGTACTGAAAAAGAAGATTTCTCGTCAACCAGAGGCAAATTTTAGACCATAACCGTAAAAAGCATTTAATAATGTTGATATAATATTTTGATTTTCCAGTAAGATATTTTGGTACATTTCAAATATTATTTAATCAATTTTGCAACCCTCAGGACACACAAAGATATTCTGACCTGGAAGATTTGTTTGATGAGAGTGATGACAGTTTACAAAATAACATTGGGGGGAAATAGATGTTGCAGATGGTGCCAATAACGAGGATAAGAATCAATATTTTGATGGCCATAATAGTCCAGCAGCAAATGTCAGGAAACAGAGTCCAATCGGAATTTCGTGAAGAAGGCGAGCCACCAGTGTTAATGTGTTAAGACAGAAAGCGATTAATTCAGCCCAGAATTGAAACAGCATTGCAGAACAGTACATCGGAACTCTACTTGAAAATGTTTAAGACCGCATACCAGCATGCAGTAAACCAAACAATGCCTCTAAAACATTTTAAAGTCCTTGTAAAATGCCAGAGAGAAGATGAGGTTGTTCTGGTTCAAGGGAGGAAGACAATAAAGCAGCCGCAGAGAGCATTCATTACATTGCAACTGCTGTTCAAGACAAGTGTGCAGCAATTATTGCCAGCCAAAATTTTATGTCTTCAATGGCTGATGGCTCACAAGCTAGAAAAACAGGGTCGGAAAAGGAAATGATT